GGTGGTGGTAGTACTAGTAGTGGTAGGAATAGAAATAATGGTGGTAGCAATAGTAATTAGTAGTAGTAGTCGTCGTCGTTCGCTACTAGCAAAACTAACAATTGAACCGAATGCATTTAAGCCTGACCTCACCTCGGCTAAGCACCGGCTATCTACAACCGCAAACCGTATCGACATCTACACACATTGATATACAGGGGGTGAACGGGGGCCAGGGGGGATCTGGGGTGGTGGGTGGAAGGACCGGGGGCAATCAAAGTCGTAGCCCAGTTAGGGGAGACGGTGGAGATCTGGGAGCAAGTGAGGCGGTGCTGAATCCAATGAACTTTCTTAGATGACTTGACTGCAGTCTGCCAAGCCCTGAAACAGCACACCTTAAACCATGCCATGGCCAGGCCACACCCGAAGCAGAGGCATTGGAGGTCGTTGGCCTTCAGGCTCAATTGATAAGCTAACTCGGTGTCCTTAATATCTCTATGTAAAGGATATGTTTTCTGAAAAACTATCTTGCTTCCTCGGCGCCGTGTTTTCCAAATATGTTGTGGCGTGGCTCCACCACGCCGCGCGCATATGCCACCCTCGTTCCACCTTATACCTGTACCCTTTCAGTCCCAACTCTAGTGACTCAATCGATCCAAACGCTGGAAATCGGCCACTTCAGAAAACGTGTGAAATTTAGCAGCCAGGCTACCATCTGAATCAGCCACTGACGCGACCCGCCTGAAGTCGACACACAATCAACTACGTAGCCACCCCAACCCCTCCCGCGCACACCTCAAAAATTGGACCCCGAACCATCCCCAAAGCGCCTGTCGCTGTCTGTAAGGCTTCAGGGCTCCCACCCCCACAGCCGTGCTCAAGGTGAGGCCCAGCGTCAGAAAGAGGCTCTTGAAAGTGGACGCCGCCTGCGCGAGGACACTTGCGATTTCGACTGCTATCAGCATCAGCTTCCTTTCCTGATCACTGCACTAGACAATTACATCAGATGCGGCTGTACGAGGAAAGCAACAAAAGCTTGCAGCAGCTGCAAGGGAATCCCCTCGGGGTCTTGGGCCAGCCCTCCATGGTGCGAGGCATGCTACCGGCGACAGTTGCAGAGTCCGTACCCAAAGCCGCCGAGCTGCTGCCACCAAGGCGACTGCCACCAGCTTCAATGCAACCTCAACCCACACGTCCCGGCACAGTGCCTTGGGTGGATTGGCGAGCTTGGCTTTGAGATTAAAAGAACTGTGCCGACCGGTTTCTGTGCCCGACAATGCGCAGCGTTGCTTACAATCATTCACCGTCCTAGTATAGTATACAATCATTCACCGTCCTAGTATAGTATGGCGATTTGCACTGGCTAGCTAACCGACTACAACATAATGTAAAGCATACACATGACAGCACCATGTGCAACTTTCGACTTTGGTATAGTGCACTCGCGCGTACGCATGCTTAGAGTTATATGGTTTAATTAAGTGCAGCATACTAGCTAGCACTGTCTGTGCTGGCTGCCTCTGAAGATGTAAATGTGAAGCCACTGCCGCCTGCTCCAAGCAAAGGACAAGAATGTGAAGCAGACAAAGTGCGAGTAACTTACCTCGAAGGCACAACAAAGCCAAAGGACTAGCCCAAAGGCCAACAAACAACCAACGGCTTGAGCACGGTAGAATACACCGTACGTCTGCGTCCATCAACGAGCGTCACAATACCCCTGATTGCCTAGGCCGTGAAGGATTCAAGGATTCCAAGCACAAAATCGCACGTAAGCATGCCAAGTGTTGGCACAATTGGAGAGTCCTGACCTAGCGGCCTTACTGTACTTCAGAAGCTCAGTTGGTTTCGGCTTCAGATTGGTCTACCCAGAGCCCCGAAACTGAACCACAGACCCCATCAGACGAGTATCCTACATGATATCCTGCCCACCTACCAAATCTGACGGACGTAGTTGAGTCAACAGGTAACAGGAAAACCAGGGACGCCGAACTCAACCCTTCCCGAAACCCCCTCCGTGCTGTAGACTTGAATGCCAGCATCCTCCACCCTAAGCCCTGGCAAAGCCAAGACGCATACTTGAAGAACAGTTCGTTGGCGCCGGCTAAGATTCCTTCAGTTCGGTGCAAAACCATAAGCCCCCTTGCCATTCGCGGGAATGTTGTAATTGCACTCACGCGGCAAGGCTCAATTTGCCCATGGCAGGGAAGAGTTGTCCGTTGAAGTTGCCCTCCCCTAACAACTCCTGCACCTCCGGTTTCCAAAGGATTTAAATAATGGGTTCCTAGGATGCATATTATACGGCTAGAAACCGAAACCTCAGATCCCAAACTATTTCAAATAACTGGAGCCCAAGGGGACTACAGTGAAGTGGAGTCATCGGCGGCGACCAATGCCCAAATGAATTGGAACTCCTTTGATGTTCCATTCGGGTTTCGACCCACAGACTCGCACAATGTCCTTCCATTCTGGTTTAGGGTTCAGGGTTTAGCTGGCGCTTCTCCGGCATGCCTTCCTCGGCAAGGTCTGAATAAGTGTCTTTTTCTCAAGGTAGGGTTCCATGAAAATTAAGCCCCCTGATTCACTCAGGAGCCGTGTGATGCCGAGCGTCTATCTGACTTTCCCGCTTTCTTCAGGATGTAGCGCTCCACTAGCATCCTGATCGATGCCAGGCTGTGTGCTGGGAAGGGCCTGCAGCTACGAAAGGTTGATTGAACCTCTGCATAGCTCAAGCTATGTCTAACGCTTTTGTAGGAGTCTGGGCTGCCATGTAGCCGTCTGGCAAACAGCCTGGCCTCGTGATCGTGTGACATCGCTGAAGGTCTGCATCAGTCTTGCGCTCCAGGACCGTGGACACCATGCTGTCTGCCTCAGTTTGTACAAGAGTCCAACAAAGGAACGAGAACAGTCACGCCCCCAGCAATGCGATGCGAAGCCGCATCAAACTCCATCTCATTCTCCTCCTCCCATTCGCCTCGACGAATGCGTTGCACCGACCTTGCAGTGCCAGGCTGCATGAAGCGAGACCTGAAAAACATCGATGGCCTATATGACATAGAACGGCGTACTAAGATCGCAAAGAGCGACCGCCATATAGGCAGGCCTTAAAACTCTACGGGAATTGCCGCCTAATGGCAAGCCAGTATCAGTTAGTTGGAATCGCACGCGGCCACGAAAGAAAACAGCGCTCCAGGCAACGGCTGATGCAAGCAAGTGCTGGGCACGCAACTGATCCAGCGGCTCCTGGTTCATAGTGGGCACACTGACAGCAAAATTGGCTGGAGTGCTCGCACCCGTGCATCCGTATCACCGTGGCAGGAAAACAATTTGGGTGATTGGATCCAATTATGACCAATTAAGGCACTAAGGAGTTCCACAAGATGGTTCAGTCAGGCTGCGAGTTCTCTTCCTGGTGAGGGCCCTTGCATGGGTTCATGATTTTGCAAGCTGCTACAAGGTCCTCCTCCCTCGTCGCGGCATGAGGAGGCGGCTTTATCTCTCCCACCCGGAGCACTAGCGCATCTCCATCATACTCCGCCGAGGATGCAATGCGTTTGCTGGGCATGAGAAGCAAGTACTGCTTGATGATGAGATACACCAAGAAGGCGGGAATGAGGAAAAGGTACGAGACAGCACACGTTTTTCCAATAATATCTGCCTGCACATCGGGTGGTCTCATCACGGTCCGTCATGGCAACCTGCCCTACATGCTGCCCTGTCCGATGTACCCGAGGTGAGGACCCATCTACCATCACCATGAGAGTCCAAACATAGTGCGTGCGGCAGCTCGGAACGGAAAGCCAAATCATTCAGAGGCTCGCCACCTGCGAGAGCCAGGTCACAAGCTTGAGCCCATTGAGAAACCACACAAAAGGGTGACAACACAAAAGGGTGACATGCATCACGCGAACCGGCACGGACCTCCGTCCACCATCTGGCAGTCGAGCAGCTTCGCACAGCGAAAGGCCCCTCCGATGAATAGCCACGACAAAGCTCTGAGCGCAAGGCTCACACCTGCCGACCGGACAGAACTCAAAGTCATCCTGTCTAGCTTAGAAATTTTGCACAGGCTGTTCACATCCCTCGCTTTGCAAAAGAATGAATTCCATCATCTCAGGCCAGCACCGGTGCCCTCCTGGGCCACGACTTCCACCAGCATACAAAGCAGCAGCACAAGCAAAGGCACGCAGGGTGCTGCTAGAGCACACAGTGTCCGCGCCCTCCTCCCACACAGGTCAACAAACTGATGTGTAGTTCCCGTCGGGCATTCGTCAGACCATGTCTGCCCCAACAACTTAACATACAGCAAACGACCCCTTGTTTGAAACATGAGTCTGCTCTCCTGCCATAGGCACAGTCGAGGCTCAGTGCATCAAGGACTGCACTCGCCGTGAGTTGAAACCACTTCACGTACTCCTGCAACGCTTCTTCAGAAACGCACTGGACCACGGTCTCCTTAATTCCTGAACAGGCCGCATCTGCAAGCCCAAAAAACTCCTAGCCAGGAAGCATCCAGCCGAACCCTGCATCTCCTGCTCCCACAGCCACTGATTGCCATCGTAGCTGCTATTCACTGGATCTCCCAGGTCAACAAGCACGGCCCACAACTGGCAGAGTTGCCTGGAAGGGAGGAATGCATGTTGCGCAGGGTTGTGAAGTGAAGCCATTCAGGGCTGCAAGCATGCAAGGTCTACAAGAGGGTCCGATCTAAGAAGCTCCCGGTGCCATCTCAGATCAAGCTTTGGTAGGCCAAGTCGCAAAAGTACTGGACCCTGAGCCAGCAAAAACGGCCAGAGGACCTGGCGCTGGTGTGGCGTCGCGGCTGAACGAGTCTGGGAAAGAGCAATCGTAATAGGAGCTACTAGGTAACATCTGCAGCTTGCCCGACTGCAAACAAACATATAGAGTGCGGCTCAAGCGCATAGGTGGCAGTCGGTGTCGTTGCTGGCCTTGTGCCTTCTTCGCCGTGACTCCTGGCCAAATTGCGAACGTGTGCATCAAATGTTTGTAATTATTACTCGTAGCGTGACATCGGGAACTGTTGCAGATTTTTGCTTGCTGTGGTCTCCCGCTGTGGCGCTCAGATTTTGAGAGTGCTCAAATTGCACTTAAATATCTCATGCCGTGCCTCTGCCGCCAAGCCATGAAAAGAATAGTTGCTGCAGCCAGTGCTCCAGAGGCTGCAACTGCAGGCCAAAGGGCATAGGCAGAGTCATCTTCACACCTGCGGCACGTCTTGCCGGTCCAACGATGCCGTTCAGCGCATACGCTGCACAAAGGCCCTTCATAACCTTGGAGTGCAGGTTCGGTGCGTGTTTTCTGTTTGTGTTATGGGGGGTTGGAAGGTGCACCGCGGACCACAATCTCAGTTCAGGGCTTCCAACTCCCAGTCCCCTCTTCGGGGTGAAGGCTTACGATTAAGGTCGAAGTTTACGCCCTCGGCTGATCCTATGCTTCATCCTCCAGCAGCCACCCCTATCTCCACCCTCCCAGCCGGTATCTTGCCAGCTTGGTATGTAAGGACACTAAAACTTAACCTGGATGCACAGCTGCAGCAGTACCTCGCAGAACATCATGGCATGGCATCATGGTGTGACGAGCTGAAAAGGCCGCGACGACCGTTGACCCTGCACCAATTAGCAGCAGAGAAGCCTGGGGCACAGCCGAGCTCTGAGCGATCTGGTGAGGCACTGCAGTTGCCGACGAGATCCAGGCACCTCTTTCGCAAGGGCCCGGGGCTCTGGGAGAGGGCGGGAAGGCACCCGCACATCAATCACTATATGGATTAGGGTTAGGGTAGATATAGGGTTTAGGGTTAAGTAAAATAAAGTCATGTGTGAAGGGCTCGACTCGCACACTCGCACTGGGCAGGCACGGATTCATGGGTCGGGCGTTGCTGAAACATCACTACAGGGACATGCGAGGGCAGCAAAGCACATACAGAAAGCTAGTCAACCAAGCTTCGGCTTTAGGGGAAGTGCACAAGTTAGTCGGAGAAGCTAAACAGTGAGTCACGGAAGCTGATTAAACGTCGAGTGAACTTGCTTCCAACTCCTGCGTCGGACAATGCAGCTTTCGCTGTAGAGGTGCCTAGCGTTTCGCAGGCATCTGGTTAGGCCACGAGATTCGCAGTTCACGCATGATGGCCACGTGTTGAAGAAGTCCCGTGCACCCCCTGTCAGCCTCCTTGCCGCAGTGTCGTCTCATGTCGTGTATGCGAATACCCGCCGCCTGGTGTCCGAAAAACCTTCCGTGCTTTCCAGCCCTACTGTGATGGAAAAGCAAACAAAGAAGCGGCAGGAACAGTGCCCAGGTTCTGAACCTGGCCCGAGGAGAAACAAAAGCAGTGCAGGCGTGATCCCAGATCCATGGAATCCGATGGCAGTGTTTATGGATCAGAAGCAGCCTAAACCACTCTTGTCTTCCTGGCTCACCTTGAGGCGCTGGGTGCCAAAGGCAAAAGTCGAGCAAAGCCGGGCTGTGGCAAGGCTGTCTCTGCTAGACTGCCAGGGTACGGGCACTCCTGCAGTTGCAGCTCCACAGGAAACGTTTAGACTTGGACTCACGCATCGGGATCTCTGGGGTGTGGGGAACGACAGTACGTTGTTCATGTGGGGGGGCGCTATGGTACGAGTGCTACGATCAAACAAAGCAGCCCCAGCCCGTCCAGATGCAGCTCGTTGCAGTCCATGCACTGATTCTCCCACAGAGCCGTGTGCCGATCACACTGACAGCGTGGTTTGCCCGATATAGTCGAGATCCTGCGGAACGGCATCTGGTGAGTCGTGGGATGGTTTGATGGTTGGACGTGGAAGGCTGAGCGCGAAGGTCAACATGACAGGGCGGCTGTAATCTCAAAGCTTGGGGCCGAATACTTTGGAACACGTCCTTACACAGGGTGTATGGAGTCAGCCCTGGTAGGCGTCAGAAACAGTTTCGTGTCCGCAGACCGAAGCCCTGTAATTAGGATGAACAGCAAGTATCCTGCCGACGTTGCATGTGCAACTCTTCAGTAAGGTAGAGCCCATGTTTTGCGTATCACTCCCAAGCGGGCATGGCGTGCATTGGCTGCTGTTGAACTTGTCACTGTACTTGCCTTGTTCGCAGAGCCTGCACTTGGTGCCAGTCCCGTGCCACCCTACCAGGCATCCGCAAAAGGCCTCGGGAAGGAACAGTGAGGTCGTCACCTGCAGGAAGCCATCCCGCAAACCATGGCAGCCGAACCCATGCTCCGCATCAACATGTGAAACCGCGTCTGTCATCCGAATTTCCCCATGCTGAAGGAGGCCTGCGGCTTCCGACCTTGCATTTGTGAAGTCGACGTCTGCAAGGTCCAAGTGGACTCCTGTATCCTTTGCATTTCGAAGAAGATCAGCGGCAAATGTGAGCGGCGGGTTCGCGGCAAGGCTAACAAAGGTACCTGCCCAGAGGCCCTCGACGTGCGAGAGGTTGTTGTATGACAGATCCAAGTATTGCAACAAACTCCACGATTCTTCATGGAGGGTGCCCGTGATATTGCTGGATGCGGCTGACAGGCTCACCAGACTGCTGCATCCATACAAATGTTGTAGGAGCCCGCTAGGTGTGGTGTTTAAAGGACATCTGGACACCTTGGCTCGAGTCGAGAGCGACATCAAAAGAACCAAACATGCATAAGCCAAAGTGCAACTGCAGCTTGAGGCGGGACACGTCAAGGCTCTGCAATCTCGGCAGTTCAATCTGCGAGTTGAAAGCTACAAGCTGCATTGACGTCGGGTTGGCATCGCCAGGCTCAGAAGACGTTGATGTTTTGGATGGGATGAGCGTCGTACTGGTCCCCTTGGACACTCGAGTGCACTTCTAAGGTCTGCAAAGAGGAATCTCTGGTCTATGATATACGATGTCGAGATTGGTCATTACCTTGGGAGCCCCAGGCCCATCCACTATGCCTGCAATCCATGTTCGGGTACCCATGCAAATTACGCAGGTTGCTAATGAGCAAAGAGGGTGAGGATTCGCGAAGGATGGTGGGCGGGCCAGCTGAGGCTCGGGCCGCCAAGTCCAGATGCTGTAACTGTTGCAAGCGTCCCGCCCAACCAGCATGGATGATTCTTCCAGACACTTTTGTGTTGGCCAGGGAGGCACTCTGCAGATCTCTCAACAAGATAAGGCTGTTGATGTCTCCATAGATCCCCGTGGCCCCAGACAGATCCAGGGTGTGCAGCCGCTTCATGGCCTTCCATGCGCTTCAGGGCATTCAACTGTCGAATGTAACCCTTTACGCAACTTAATCGTTTCAGTTCGTAGATCAAAGTCTCCCATCAGCATCCTGGACCGCCTCAAGCCACGCCACACTGTTGCCAAGCTCGTGACACGACATGTTGTGATGTTCAACTTCTGGCAATACCCAAAGCTTCTGAACACTACTGCTACTGTACATGGTGCTTCGACAGCAACACAACGCCTCCAGCTCTTGGATGCTGCCAGCCACGCGAGTTCCTGAAAGACCTAGGGACGTCATGAGCTTCATCCTCCTGACAGTTTCTAAACTGCCCGCCACGCCGGTACCTGAGAGCTCCAGCACACGTAGAGTTCTTTGCTTTCCCAAGTCGGAAAGGTTCCCAGTGACATTTGTGCCTGCCAAATTCAAAGTGTGGAGGATATGGAAGCCCGCCAAGACATGAAGGCTGCCTCGCAAATGAGGGTTGCCTTCGAGGTCTAGCTCTTCAAGCGCAGGCAAATCCTTGAATCCTGGCGACATCTCGCCCTTTAGATCCTTCTGTGGCAGCGCTATGCTCATAACTTCGCAGCGATAAAGGTCGCGGCAGCGAACCCCCTGCCAGTTGCAGTGGTCACCGGTCAAGCGATGTTCGGGCAACCCAAGCTTCACAAGCACCGCGAAAAGTTTGAGACGCTCATCAGTGCCTCAACTGGCCAGTTGGCTACAGTAGTGTGGCACTGCTGCATGAATGACGGCGACTGCTGCAACTTCAGGTCTTGTGCCCTTCCATCGACCAGCTAACGACTATCGGGCCCTGAAACTTACGTAGCCAACACAAAACAACCAAATCTCGTGATGGACCCTGCTTCAGGACACGGACAAGCGGCATTTATCGTTGTGATGGTCGACGACCAGGCTGGAAGGCGCCTAGCAGGCCGCGATGTGGAGGCCGAGCTTAGGCCGGGCTTTGCTTGCTCTGCTGTGCAAGACAAGATTACCGGTCAAGCTAAGGCACTTTTTGTCAATGTAGCAACTTTTCATGCGCAGTCACTCAGGCAAAACTGCGACACACACTTCCGACATAAAGCCCACAGCTGAGAAACATTGTCTTTGCACCCGCAACTCGGTCAGCAAGCGTTTCTGTCTTCAGTATACTTCATGCATGGGAAGGCCCGTCTCTGAAGGATCTCTTGGGATGAACACCAGATCCTGCATGCAAAGCAGCATCACAGTGGAAGCTGGCAAACATGAAAGTGAAAAACCGCCGTAAGGCTACAACATCGGTATCTCGTCGTATGCATTGGACGAAACTTCCGGGAGGGTGTGAATAGTCGAAAACACAACTTCGAGCCAAGGGTTTAGAAGATCATCACGTTCCCTGTCGAGCTGAAAAAACAGATTCTGCTTATGAACGCCACTTAAGACCTGAACCCTAAACCCTTTTTACATCTGGACTTTATGAATGCCAGCACGCCACTGACCTAAACCCTAAACCTAAACCCTTAACTCCTTAACCGTATTCGCATCAGCAAGTTGGGCCGTTGACTGCGACCTCCGGGGCCAGGCTCCACTCACTGCGAGCATGCTTGACACGCCCCACCTTGGGTTCAAGGCGGGGTAAACTAGCGCTCCTTAAAGGGCTCTACAAACGAATCTATAAGGGATCTACAGGGTTCTTAGGGCTTAGGGCTTTTGGGCTGTAGGGTACTCTTGAAAGTGAGAATGTGTGACATAGAGGGTGTTGGGCAGTGAGGGGCATCGGGTTACTGAGAAAGCAGAAACTGAAGTTCGCAATTTCAGTGCAGCTAAGGAAATGAGCTATGACTTAATTCGACAACCCCGGCAGATTGTGTTGCAAAAAGTTTGACCAACAAGTAACCCTGGTTTCGCTGAGCCAAGCATCTTAAGCACGACTTCATTGCACCTAGTTTTCAGAAGCTCTGAAGACTCAGCAGTGCACCGGAGGTCTTGGACCTGCAGCCTTGCCGTTGCTTTGGGGTTGAGACGCCCGGGCCAAGTTTCCCCAAGCCTTCATTGCAGTCCGCTATCTAATGTCTTGAACTTGCAGTTCTGAGGAGGAACCGTCCTTTTGAGTCAAGTTGCGGGGCGTCAAGGTTTGGACTATGGGCCAATTGCAACGGAACATGCTGCGAACGTAGCTTCAGCTCAGGATGCCCTGCACGGGCGCCGATTGCTTTTCTAAGGAATGTCTACATTCATAGCTTGGCCCTTTGAGCGGGAGCCTCGCCAGGGAAGGTTCAGGGTTTTGGTGCGATATCAGACTCTGTGCTGCAACTATACCTTTCCCTTACCTGCTGCCTTGCAGAAGAGACTGCCAACGCCTGAAGAACGACGACATAACAAGAGAAGCAATGAGTGCCAAAAACACTGGGTCATTCTGTACCTCTCTCCCAGCTTTCTTGGCCAGCACCAGGTGTAAGTCTCACAACCCTGAACCCTTGCTACTCACACTCAACCTCCTGTCCTGGGTCCCGGGCTGTCGAATCGTCGGCGAACTCGTCCAGCTCGCTTATGCTGGTCTCTTCACGGATTGCTGCTAGAAGCATGACCTGCTGACGTGCCAAGCTCCGTCGAGTCAAGCGGTATGCAAACACTCCTCGATTTGCGACCGACCAGAAACAACGATCAGGAATGCTTGCATAAATGTAACGACTAGGACACGATTGAGGCAGGCGGTGAGGTCAAGCTTGATGATTCGAGAAGCTTCGGGCTGTGGGATGTAAGGTTGCGGCTTGTCTGCTGGTTTCAGCGTTCTGCTTTGTGGGTTTTGCAAGATTGGCTTATTTCAAGGCGTGGGCTTGAAGGTCGCGTGATTTCGGGCATTGACGGTAGTAAGATTTATCGCTAGCCCAAGATATGTACCTTAGCCGAGCAGCCGATAAGCATCGCCGAACTACAGCGTTTGGATTGCAGGAACTATGGCATCGAGACCTGTTCATCGAAACTGCTGATGCTTCAGATGAATGTACACAAGTCTTGCATTGGTATAGGAACCGCTACAACACCAACCCTCGCTGGCCTGGGTTAGGAGGACCGACCAACAGGGCGCCATTGCAAACAACTACGCAACGAGGATAACGACACCTGACCTTAAATAAACCCTCGCCTGGAAACGTGCTGCCTGAAGCTTCCCGCGAACTCCAAAAAACCGGGCAGCTAACTAAACCTCCTTAGGGGCGCTTGCACCCCACAAGTCTGCATGCCTTCTGAGGTGCTGGTGACCGTGTTCTTAAAGAAATATCAGGTGTTGTTCAAAGAGTTGCCAAACTACGGGTATCTGCAAGAGCCGCACAATCCACCAAACGCGCGCAAAACACAGCTTCACTATCCTTGCGACCCCCTGCCAGGAAGATGTTGCTGCAGGCACCTCCAAATTGCTCCAAATGCAAACCAGATCCAGGAGACCCGAAAGACTTGCCAATTTCTAAGCGGGCAGCGAACACGTTCTTTCACCCCTTCTACCACTCGACAGACAATATGCTGATATTATCTTACTGAAAACCGATGTATCATAAGATAAGCTAAGAACACAGTAAGCTTCCTGTAAGAATAGAATTAGCTTTATGATCTATTTCACAAATACCATGAGTGGATACAAGACATATAAATATACTATTTTGATATGCTAGCTGCTAACTATTTTCAAGACCAACTTAATTATCAACATAATCGGAACTCAAGCATGAAGTAAAACAAAATGAACAGTACTCAAACAAATTTATACATATACATATATATATATGTATCTTTATTTATTCATTTATTTGTTTTGTTGGCTTTGTTATGCTTTGTTTTATTTGTTTATATAGTTACTTCTAAATAGATAGTGTTGTATAAAGCTTGTATATATCATCATGAATAACAGATAGGCCAACGCCATCGAAGCGCTTCGTCTTTTGTTGACATAAAGTTTCTGGGAGAAACTATGAAAACAATCGTTCGATGCCATTATTGTTGTTGTTCTTTTAATATTGGCTTGGATTCTGTACATACACACATACGTATATGTATATATATATAGAGAGAGAGAGATCATAACATATGTCTTCTATATAAAAACAGCTACGTACTGCATAAAGGGTAACGTCGACAATACATTTCGATATTCAGTATATATGTATAGACATACCGTTTTAACGTTCAAGACCCATCAGGATTTAGAACATATCTTGCTTATCCACTCAGATATGTGTTCGAACCACAAATATGGATTCTTTTGTCCCGGAATTAGTTCCCCAAGATTCTAGACATGCGTATATTCCAAACGAAAGATGCCATTTGCAAGTATTGAGAATTTACTGAACATCTGCGACATGCAGTGTTCAAAGTAAAAACAACTATAGGCCAGGTTTGGATTTTCATGTTGCTTACTGACCAGATGATGTATCTCCATTGTACTCGGACTTTCATTAAATGCCATCTCCTATCAAGCAATGATATATGTCTAAATAAATCATTAATGTCTCGAAAATCAAAACAAATGCTCTTCAGCAAAAGTCATACAGTAATAAATACTAAGAAAAATTCCCGAGCATATGAGCTTGAAAAACTCTTTCATATTGAAAATTTATCCATTAAGAAGAACTCTTGAATATTTCAATATCATAGCCGATCCTCGTTGAATCTGCCTCGAAATATCCCTACGAATGCCTCACACGGCAAATCAAGGATGTACTACGAATAGCATATCTGTCTCTGGCTTTCGCTGCGAGGATGCCGCAGAACGTCCTATCTACATAGACCATAGACATCGGACGATGTCATCGGCATGAACCCGGATCACAGGACAAGTGAGTTAGAGAAGAAACTTTATGCTGCATGCTCTTCAACGCGCCAGCATCATCCTGCAAGCTGTTTGCCCTCGTCATCAACACTCACTCTGAAAGGCGTGAGAACTTGATAAACATAAAACATCGAGTAACAGCCGCACCCCGAAACGGGCAATAGTAGCGCGAAAGTAATGTCTGATGTCCTTTAGGTTTTCTTGTGCAAGAGCATTTTTCACTTCCGTATCATGCCTGCATAAAATGATGCCAACATTGTTAGTTCGTGGCACAAGTACAGCAGATGATGTTATTGTTGAGAAATACGAACAAGCTACATAGTCGCCGGCTTTTCCGTCAGTTGCAATGCCTGAGAGTAGGTATTGGCTTGCAAGGATGCACAAGAAACGGTGCAGTCCTCTGGCATCTTGATGAACACAAATGAGCAGAGAAGTGAACGTGGGTCATCGCCCACTTCTCCCCCACATGTGCACCGATGAAGATCACCAGCCCATCTCCACATGCGCCGGCAGTGAACAAATATAACCACTGTGAAGTCGGAGAAACTAAACCCTACGCTCAGAGCGCGAGTGCGTACGTGTTTTCTGCAGCCGGTGGGTCTGAGATGGACAGCAGCAATGTCTCTGCGATTCCAAGCTGGACTTTATAGACACGTGCCATCTGCACTTGAAGGTTCACGGGTGTTTGGAGTCAGGAGACTAACTTGTTCTTGCAATATTACTCAAGGAAGGCGCAGGGAGTGCCATGCACCCACTTCATTCTTGCAGTCTTGCAGCTCCCGAAACCCCTCAACCCACCCGGAAATGAACTCTATATCTTGAGCTTTAGGGTAACCGAAGGGTCGAAGGTGTACGGTTCAGGGTATTTAGGGATCAGGCTGTAAGTAAGCCAAAAAAGCACACCCCCAAAACCGTAAGTCCAAAGTTCTGAACCGTCCGAGACCTAAGATTCTCAATGGAAGAACTTCAGCTCCAGTCGAATTATACAAAGGCTGTAAAGGTACTAGGACTGAGGGTTCAAGCCTCTCAGGTTTTAGATAAGTTAAGAGATGGGGATCAAAGCAAAGGTCCCTTGCTTTTAGGCTTTAGGGGGTAAGCCTAGGGTAATGCACCACTCCACTTCGAGTTTTAGGCCGGGGCTTTACCGTTCAAGGCTCTGAATTTTGTCTTTGTTGGTTTGGTCTACGACTGATCAGAGCTCCAAACCCCGGAAATCTAAATTGAACCTTGCTGAGCCCCAAACCCCCAAACCTTCGTGGGTTCATGTGCAATCCTGGTGCTGCATGCAGGTAGAGCACCCAAGCTTTGGCTCAACGGATTCTCCATGCTTGCCTGCTGTGTGAATTCAGACACTAGTTCATGCCAAGCTTGCGATGCTCAGTTGGATAAGACCGCGACTACATAAAATGAAAGGGGAGGATCCACATAGAGTTCTCCGGAGATCCGGGGTTAGGCACATGCTCCTCAATCGCTTTCCCAAGGGCCCCTCAACTCTGGATTTGACGTCTGAGAGGTGCGAAAGCTGCAGGGGGTGACATTAAGGGCTCCTTTCAAGGGTTAGGGGGATTCCTTCAGGAAGATAGGGGGTTCTATAAGGGTTCAGGCTTACTACAAGGGTCTCATCTCCTGAAACAGGAAAGGCGGCTCCATACTTCGATTTCGATCCTCCAGGCTTAGCGGCTTCTGCTCGAGAGCAACTTCGGATCCTTATAAGCCCAGAGAACCCAATACCCCTTAATTAAGGAATACATCTTAGATCATACATAATATTAAGGCCCCCTGTAAGTTAAGGCGTAATCCTTGATTCCCTTATAGAACCCTTTACAGATCCCTCGCAAGGCCTCTATATCTTAAGGTCTAATCCTTAATTAAGGGGTACTTGGAGGCCCAGGGGACTTAGCAAGTAGGTTGTAAGTAGAATTGTAAGTACCCTACTTATAACCGAATTGCTAAGTCCCCTGGGCCTCCAAGTATTGGGTTAACCCTAAACCCTAAACCCTAAACCCTAAACCGTTCTCTGGGAGTGCTGTTGGCCGCTTCCGGGCCAGAGCCCGACATCTCCATGCCTCTTTGGCTTTACTTCTCGAGTCTTCTGACTTAAACCATGCCATACCATACTAGACTATACCATGGAAGACAAGTGTAATATCCGTATAATATGTATCATAGGAATATAGCATGATATGATATAACGTAATACAAGATTCATGTAACTAAGCTCTAAGCCTTCAGCGAAGAGAGCTTGCGGATACCTACCAGCACTCTTCGACTCATCTGCCCAGTCGGGTGGTCGTGCGATTTCTCCAACGGCGGACGGTCCTCGACCTTGAGGGCAGGTTCCTTAGTTGCTGAGTTCATAAGCGCCAAAAAAGTGTACACTTTCAGTCCTATAGGCAATGAGATTGTCCCAAACAGTGTAGAGCGCACTCACCCAGCTACTAAGGCTCTGCAGGCACTTTCGGACCTGGGCCACGTGCTTCTCCGTCCTTGGCTTAGGGTTTTGGAGATCACCGACTGAAGCTTCAACACCAGTTAGTTCAAGCAGGGGGATGAACCAAACTCGATCGTGGCCTGGCATAAGGGGTGTCGCTTCACTAGGCTTTTCCGGCTGTATGCCAGGACCTATACTAAGACCTATAGGATTTGGTCTTGCACAGCAGCCGACGGATGTGCTTTCTGACGTGCGGTGCTCCGTGGCCAAAGCACTACAGTCTCTGCCACGCAACCCAGGCAATCAACCACCAAAGATGTCACGGAACCCGACCTAATGGTAATGATAACTGTTTTGGGTAATGAGTTAGTATCAGTTAGGAATAACTAATAGAAAGAGTGATAGTATTCGTAATGGTAATGGTTGCAGTTACTATATAGTATTGGTACAGTACTATTAGTAATAACCGAATATGCATCTAGCCAGCCATAACGGTAGTGGTGTCCGGCCTCAGGCTTTGGCGCGTTTGCCCCCGGCCTGGCGGGGGAGCGTCAAAAACCCTCATGAATTTAAGTAAAATTCTCCGCCCCAAAGCCGCCCCTGCCCCATAATCTTTCCCTTCAGGTTTTGGCTGTCAGGCTCTTTCCCTGACCTTGAGGATCAGCATCAGCGCCGGTCCACGGGATTCATTAAAAGCTTCGTCGGCCGGCGTGTTTCCCCAGTTGTCCTTGGCGTTGAGGTCGACACCGGCCTCAGCAGGGCTGGCGCCGCACAAACATGAGGCGAGCACAGCCGTCAAGGAACAGGTGGGAGCGCCCCCCCGACCTCGATCAGTACGCGCAGCGCGTCCACGTGGCCGAAGTGTGCGGCGCTGTGGGCCGGGGTCTGGCCAGCGTACTCCCTGGCCTCCAGGTCCGCTCCCGCCTCGCGCAGAGTGGAAACTGCGAAGCACCCCCACTCAAAGCCGCAAAGCCGCAGCCCTCGCCTTGACGAGTACTTCAAGCGCCTCTGCTCTCCCCTGCATGGCTGCCAAGAAGGCCGGCGTGGCACCACGGTTGTCTGTCACGTTCAGGTTGGCACCTGCCTCACAAAAAAAACTCTACGGAGGCGGCTTAAGCGCCGGAAGCTCCAAGACGCACCTCCTGGAGGAACTTCAGCACTGCCGCGTGGCCCCAACGCGCGGCAAGGTGCGCCGCTGTGTTTCCGTACTCGTCGAATATTGCATTCAAATCGGACCCAGCCTCGGCAAGGAGCTCCCTTTAAGCCTCGCCTACTACATCTCAGCGCGTCCAGGCTTAACACCCTCGCAGCCCGAACTGCTGGGCGAAGGAAATGCCACCTCAAACAAAACCCTGGGCCTTGAGGTGCTGCGCGAGGGCCGCCACGTCGCCTTTTGAGGCAGCGTTTTGCAAGGTGATGGCCGGAGGCTGCCCCCTCGTGGTGGTGATGGATGTGGTGGACGTAGTAGGCACGCTCGTCTCCGCGATGAGTTCCCCTGTCGCTTCCACATCCTCGTCCTGTTCATGGTGCTTTTGGTTCCAGACCTGGTTCTGACTTAAGAAGGCTTTGTGCGGGCATCTCCCGCTGAGTGAGGGCTGATGTAGAGGCGTGTTGGATCTGCACAGCCAGCCAATCCCAATCTGTTTCTTGATGTAATGCTCACAAGTTCGTCGGCATTTCGGGGCCTAAGTCATTTTCAACCGTGTGCCCTGAGACTTGTGGGAGTTCAGCCCTTTGCGATCTTACAGAACTCTTGCATGCACACACTCACACCACTCCACGTGCCTGCAGCAAGGTCTGCAAGAACTCCTTCGTTTTCGCAAGCTGCTCCTCCTGCGGTTCCGGCAAAAGAACCCGCCAAGCTCTGCTCTGTCACTGGTTTGGGCTTATTTCTATAAGCTCTGTAGACCTGCACACGTCCAGCCGCAAGCTGGCCAAACGGCATCTTTTCCCGCATGCTGACCCAGAAGAATCTGGTACTCCGTAGTCACTGCAACTGGACTTGCCCTCGGACCTGCAGCGGCAGCGAGGCCAGAAACGACAATATCCGTTCGTTCTGCCGGGCCTGGCCAGGTACCGCGAGCCCGCGAGTCTCGAGCCCTCCTGTGAGTGCCCGGCCTGGTTTTGTTTCAGATACTCCTCAAGGAACTGCGAGACCGGATGCTCCTGACACCAGCAGGATTCGGCCCCTTTTCGGCAGCTGAACACCTGACAGCATCTTTACCGAGAGAGCCCTCTGTAACTTTCCCATCTCGCGAAAGGGGCTCCCTCCAGGTCCTGCTCCTTGGCCGCGGCCAGGTTCCCCTGAATGGACACCTAGAGAACATCGAAGCCAGGACTAAGGAACGTAGGGTGTCGGCTTGAAGCTGGGATTTGGGCTTTAGGCTTTTGGGCATAAGGCATAAGGTCAAAGAAAGTACGTAGTGCGTTGCTTCAGGCTTTCATTATAGGCTTGGCCTGCAAGTCACAATCATGGAATAGGGAACTTGACGTTACATCGTCTCAAGGCACCATTAGAACTCCCATCCCGCGCAAGCACCCCTCTTCCGTTGCTGACAGCTCAGAATCCCACCAGTGCAGCAGCTGCAACCCTGTGCCAGGAGCCCAGCCCGCGTGCCATCCACAATGGCGATCGTGGCCAGCGCGACCAGGTGAGTCACCTTACGCCAGACTTGGATTACATCTGACATCCTAGAGATCGGTTTGCGATGAGGGGTTAGCTTCCATAGTCTCGTCATTCCGTCCTGGAGTGGACACCCTGAATCACATGGTGCTATACACTCAAACGTTCCCAGCCGAAGATTCGCAACGAAGGGTCTCAGAAGGTGCTCCTGAAGCATCCACGTCCGAGGAACCACACCGGAAAACTCGAAAACTCAGCCTCCGGCCAGCATCACGTAGTTGAGGCTTGGAGTTGACAAACTTACACACGCTTGCAATTAGAGCCGAAAGCTGGAAAACAAGGGATGCACATGCGAACACTTCGCGGCCGCTGGGCGTTCAAGGCTCAGGGTTGAGGAATTGATGCCAAAATAGGGACACTAATATGGTAGATCCTTACTAATAAAGGACCCCAAAACAAGGTGCCCCCTCATTTTCGGAAACTCACCAAAAGGATCACTTTGCAGGATCTCTGGGGCCTTTCGGCGATGCCGGCTAGCTGGCCCGGGTCAGGATCAGGGTACTAAACTTTGCCCTAAAAGCCTCTGAACCCGGGAAGACCTTATGGTGACCCTTGAAGAACCCTTCCTTACAGTATATTATATTGTCGACATAGAGCCCTTAGAGGAAGCTTCGGCTTCGAAGGACTGGGCCGGGGCTTCTTTTTCCTGCCGCAACGGAAAGCCTCCATGCCAGGGACGGCCTCTGGAAAGCGCGTGCCTGATGGGTTGGGGGTGGTGATGAGGGTTCAGGATTTAGGGCTGAGGGGTTTAGGGTTGAGGGTTGAAAAACTGTCGGTGTTGTCGGTTGGGAATCCCCAAGGCGAGCCCTAACTCGGGCGCCCTGACCTGCACCAAAACCTTCAATTTTCTAAGGGTCGGGTTGAATTTCTAAGACTGTCTTGCAAAAGGGCTATGCAGCAAGCCACCAACAACACTTGTGCAATCCTGGCAGAGCTATAACAAAGAAAGGAAACACACACACACACACACAATACCACCGCGAAGAAAAGCTTGGAGAACCCTAAACCATGTGACCCATTAAATCCTTGCAAAACCCTGTCTAGAATCCGAATTAAACCGCTAGGACCCTTTCCCCAGAAAGACCCCGATCCCTGAATTGCGGAATAGACCTGATATACTGTTACTATACTATGACTAAACTACTACCGCACCATCACTGTACCATTACTATACTTTTAATTCAGTCGGTCGGTTTCGAAACACAAAATGCAATCGGGTTTCAGCACCGTTTCATGATGTCTGGGTCCGCCGGCCTCTCTCCGTGGCTATCTCTCTCTCTCTCTCTACAGATCAACATAGATATGTAGATAGATAGGCAGATAGACAGATAGATAGATAAATAAATAGATAGATAGGTATGGTTAGATTAGATGTATACAGACAGATCTTCACAAGCCTTAAGACAATCGGAGGCCCAGTGCTAGGAAGTCTTGCTAAGTGCCTCGTCTTCGGTGAAGATCTCATGGAGATGCGCCGCCATGGAGCTTCAGAAAGAAGGCAGGCTGTGCAGAGGCTCTCGTTCTCTGACAAAGCAAGTGGCTGCAGACAGATATTGGGTGTAGAGCTTAGGGTCTAGGGATTCGGGGTTTAAGGGTTTGGGGGTTCAAGGGTGAGGGTTAAGTTGGCTTTGGGGCATAGGGGTTGCGGTTGGGACTTGAGAGGTTTGCAGATCCAAGCAATCCCTTTGGAAGTATCTCTCGGGGCCCCAACAACCGTTACCGAAGCGAGCATCACTCAAATACAATAGGGAATTGATCATTTGAGTAGGGCTTTTGGGACATATTATAGTGTGATTCCACTAAGGAGCCCTTGGCCATTATTTAGGCTTCTATATTACAATACTGCTCCTGGATAAGAAGTGAATTTGGGAAGGCTGCGAACTAGGTAGGCTGCTTCTCCACGAGTAGAAACCAGGGTCTCTACTGGGGATGATGATGCTCATCTCGGCTTTCCACAGTGCCTTGGTCAAAGACCGAAGCCATCCCTCATAATATAGGGGCCTTAACAATTAGAACAATGTTCTGGAGCCCATTATGCTATAGTTACAAAAAGGAACCCCGAAAATAGCAGAGGTAGTTATTAAGGCCCCTGAATGATTACAAATGAGCGGCAATGAGAGGATCAGGGTTTCTTGGAGCAGTCCTTCTTTTTGCGGCCTCGCGCTCAGTGGGAACAGCGCCATCCCGCTGCAGCACGAATCTACTTACAAAAATCTAGCCCGAGTTCCCTGAAGACGTGCAAGAGTAGATTTGCCTCCAAAGGCTTTTAGCCATCATTGGTCGATCTTGATACGGTGAGTTCTCTAACTTGGGTCCCTTGTTTAGATCCCAAATATAGTGCGCTCCCTTATCCCTGCCCCCTCCCGCCCGGCCCTACCCTGCCCCACCCTCGGTCTGCCCTGCTGACATTTCCGCCTTTGCGGCATTCTACGGCAAACCCTAAATCCGTAATCCCTAAACCCTGAACCTAAACCCTGAACCCTAAACCCTAAACCCTGAACCCTAAACCCTAAACCCTGAACCCTGAACCTTAAACCCTATCTATCGGAAGCAGAGTTTCCCCTAAAGTTCCTTCGTTTTGGGGGTTCGTTGAGGTCTCGGGCCTCAGGCTTAAGGGCTTATAATGCTGTTACTGCTATTCTTATGGTTGTTATCATTGTTGTCGTTGTTGTTTCTAATTTCAAACATTATTGTTGTTACTTTTTATGATCGTCATCATTCTTGTTGTTGTTCTTAATTTCAATTGTTTTTACTATTGTGATTATCATGGCTGTTATTTCTTCTTTTTCTTACTATTAGCTAGTCTTCTTGTTCTAATTCAAGTTCTTATCATTACTGTTGGGTTGATGGAGCGTATCGAGTCTGTGGGGCCGACATGGCTTGGGTTTCTTGTGTCCGGGGCTGTAACTGGCACTCATAGATTCGGGGTTCCACATATTTAGACTTTGGGCTTTCAAGACCGAAGGACATCCGAAAAGTGAAAAAGCGACGATAGCAACCAGAAAGCCACACGACACTGCAAGCACAGTATGGAAGTCTTGCGCGTAGAGAACTTCAGCTGCTCTGGCCTGCCTTCATCCAAAGCTCACCGTCACAATGAAGACTCTGAAGCCCAAAGTCCTTTGACCTGGAAACCCTGGAACTCCTATGCCCCGGAGTCTCTCCTCTTGCTGCGAGGGACCGCAACACACAACCATGTGGATGGGCAGTTGTGAACATGAAGGCCGTCTTGAATAGGTAGGTACAAGTACAAGACTTTGGCTTCAGTCTACCCTAAACCCCGCACCCTCGAATGTGAGGCTTCGGTGCCAGATGGTCTGTTACAGTGCATGCTGGCCTTACAGGAGGGGCCATCGTTTCACAGCTGCCTAGATGTGATTACTTCGAGGCTCAGGATACCCTGCAACCCGGTGCAGCCGTTTGACAACCAGATCAAGGCACCCTTTGTAAAGTAACTGATTCGAGACTTGCCGATAGGTCCATACACCTACAAACATCCCACACTTTACATCAGAACACTCACAAGTAGCATTGATATCGGGGTAACACTTGAAACTGGGAGGGAACGGGGTTTTGTGATCGTGTCGACTACAACTCTGTGACTATGTTCGATTGAGCAACATAGGGGCCTTAACAGTTCAAGCAGCTCAAATGGTTCTATATTTATACTATGACTATGTTTGGGACTATAATGAGATAGTAAATTTTCGCTTCTTCAGACGCCCCTCTAGGACCCTGACTATACTACCGTAGATATCTTTTGGGACTGCTGTAAGGAGAAATTAGTTACCTCTGGCCCAGACAACCTGCCTTCGCAAGGACTTGTCTACAGAAACCATGATAACGAACCCCAGAAAGGTAGGGTTTTTCCGGCTACAGGCATTGCTTGTTCAGACCCCGGTGGTACCCTGAACCTCGAAGTTTCCCCGGGAAAGCTTCCAGGGGCACGTGCGCAAAACTTGACTGCCCAGAGAACCCAATACACCTGAATTGAGGAATATACCTTACATTATAGGGGGCCTCAATAACATGATATAAGGTATATTCCTTAATTCATGGGTATTGGGTTCTCTGGTTGCCACCAGCAAGCTTCCGTTTTGGGGGTCAGAGTTGAAGAAGGCTATCCTTAAATCCTCGCGACCCGAAAGGAAGTTCTAGGATGGTGATTTTCTGCTATGTCGCAGGACCGCCCTTGTTGGTGCGCAGAACAACTGAAGCTCTGAAGCTCCTGACGCCTCGAGCTTCAGAGCTTCGCTGACGCTCTGAAGCTCGTGACGTCTCGAGGTTCAGAGCTTCGCGGACCTCCCCGACGACTCGAGCTTCGGAGCTTCGCCGACTTTCCTGACGCCTTGAGCTTCAGATCTTCGCTGACGCTCTGAAGCTTCTGACGCCTCGAGCTTCGGAGCTTCACTGACGCTGAAGCTCCTGAAGACTCGAGCTTCGGAGTTTCGCCGACTTTCCTGACGCCTGGAGCTTCAGACCTTCGCTGACGCTCTGAAGCTCCTGACGCCTCGAGCTTCAGAGCTTCGCCGAGGCTCTGAAGCTCCTGACGCGTCGAGCTTTGGAGCTTCACTGACGCTGAAGCTCCTGAAGACTCGAGCTTCCGACCTTCACTGACGCTCTGAAGCTCCTGACGCCTCGAGCTTCAGATCTTCAGAACGAAAAGTCCGGAACCACCCCTGGCGTGCAAGCGCTATGTCAGTTTTCGGAAACAAATGGCAAAACCTACGATTTCAGGTGCATGTTGTGGCTTTAGGATTTAGAACTTCGGGAATCATACAGTCTTGGGATTTAGTCGCGAAGCTAATCATGCTTTGTGTCTCGGTGGAGGTGAATGCAAACCGCAGGCCCTGAACCTAAACGACAAACCCTAAACCCTAAACCCTGAACCCTAAACGCCAAACCCTAAACCCTAAACCCTAAACCCCGAAGCCTAAACCCTACTGGACGTATGAGTCGATCCTCCGGGAATTCAGGAAGAGACCTGCTCGGTGGCTTCCCCAGGCCGTGCCCTTCGTGTGCATCGCCCCTCAGCTTTCGGCCACCTAAACCAGAAACCCACAGTTTAGGGTATAGGGTTTTGGGTTTAGGCCTCAGTCAACAAGCACAAGCCATATGAGCCGGCAAGCAACTTGCCAGCCTGAGATCTTTTGTTGAACCCAAAACCAGAACCCTGAAACCAAAACTCTAAATGTCAATGAAAGTTCAACC